TTAAGGAAGACACTCTCATCTCAAAAGTTGCCGTTTCCACTGTGTATGCCCTGGAGCTCATTGAACCTTTCTGTAAATAGATTTAGCTCACTGGAAAAACAAAAATCTATCTCTATTTCCTCTTCCTCTTATCCTCCCCCCTTCTTTTTAAACTGAGTTTGTTTCCTGTCAGATTAGTGAGTTAAATTGGCTTATGGGGAGGACTGAAAGAAGTGCCAGATTTGGTGCAAGATAAGCCTCTAGGAGCAGGAACAAGCCCTTGAGGTCAGTAGGAGCACTGGTGAGGTGTTTTGCAAGTGCCCAGTCTTCAATTTCTGTGTTAGTGCAGCAGAGCTGCATGTTGCTCTCAGAGGGGTTGTTGTTCAGAGTAGTAGATTTGTTTGTTTGTTTCAGCATTCTGCCTGCAAAAACAGGTGGTCTTCACAAACCTGCTAAAATAGAATTTTGGCGGACAGCAAAAGTCCTTGCAGCAGAAGTTGTATCATGTAATTAATACTGTTTCGCAGTGGTTTTGACCCATTGCAGGTAAGAGCATTAGTATGCATCCAGTGTAAATTGATTTACTTCTGTGTCTTCTTTACTGTGTACTCTTGGTTTACTGAAAGGTTGCTGGCTCTTGATGGAACTGTATGAGGTTGTTTTGGAGAGATTTTCTTAACAGTCGTTACTGTGACTGGGCTTCAGGATATGCTTTCCTTCATGTCTGGATTTAATTGTAGATAATTTTGGAGGGAAAACAGTTTTCTTACTTTTGGAGACCTGGCATACTAGTGGCGTCTGGTCATTGTACTAAGCAATCGATCAATCACTAGATAAAAAGGGGCAGAAATGAGAGATACAGAAAATAATTGATGTAAGCAGAATGCCACCAAATAACTTTCTTCTCTCTCTTCTAAAAGATTTAATGTCTGCAACAGCAGTTGTTCACAGCCCTGACTAGAAATGGCAAAGTTGTGAGTAGACACTTACTCCCCACACATTATTAAAAGTAATGCACAAATATCTGATGCAATCGGGCCCCTATAATGATCCTTAATTCCAAACTCCCTTTCTTTTGTAGACCCTGGTGAGAGCTGTAAGCACTCCCTGATACTGCCCAGGAAGTAGTACTTTTCTTGGGGACCATCTTGCTAATCATATTTATATTTCTTAAGTTTTGATTTTTGTCTTGTAGTAGGAAATGCTTTCTGTAAACTTGCAGTCATGGATTTTTCCATTCCTATTTGTTGTTGCTAATACTACTACAAAGTTACCAGCATTTTGGACCAAACCATTGCTTGTGACAGGGATGTGTGATATTTTACATTATAGGCTAAAATACCAAAAAAATAATAGGATATCTATTAAAAAGAAAGAAGAAAAAAAAAACAACACACAAAACCCCACCAGAAATGGCCCTGTCAAATTAAAAAAGAGAAAGAAAAAAGCTCTAGTCTGAAATCACTGTATTGACTGCTAGTAAAAATAACAGTAAAGTCTCTGACAGCCAAAAGAGGGAGAAGCGAGGAAAAGCGTGTTGCTTTTAAGTTTTTCCCTTTGTTCGTTGGCGGTGTGCCCATACACCCCATTCAGGGCTCTAGAAATGGTTCACTGACTTGAAACTCTGGCTGGTTTTAATTGTGTTGGTTTTGTTTGAGTAATGTGAGGAAAATACTGAGCTAGATCTTTCAACATTAAATTATCAACTTTACAGACATTTTTTGTCCAACTCTTTAGACAAGTTAAGAGCAATTCAGGTTTTAGATTTGTTTTGCTGGTTTCCAAATGCCATTTTTCACAATGGCTTTGAATTGTTATTGCGCCCTCAGAGAATCTCACCAGGAGCTATACATTTGCACAGTAAGTCAGGCAGTACCAAATCCATGTCTAACATTGAAAAACTGTTGAGGTGTATTCAAGGAAAGTACTGTGCAAGTAATTTGAAGTGGTTTTTTTCAACATTTTCAACATTTTTAACAACATTTTTTGTTGTAAAAAGTGCTTGGAAAAAAACAAACATGCAAAAAATATACACCCACGTAACATGTGATTCATGAAAGCGTAATTGTTCCTTTACTTAGGCTTTTAAATATGTTTAAAAATCTCTCTTACAAATAGAGTACTTCATTTGGAAATAGAAGCTCTGTTGCTAAAAGTGAAATCATTTTAGAATACTAATAATGCCCTGGTATAAGTTCCATTTTAAGCAAGTACTTACTTATTTTGAAGTAGTAGAGAATGTTACGTACATATCCAATGTCAGTCATTTGGCATTTTTTAAATAACAGTCAAACTCACGAAGGAAAAACGCGTGTAACTCTTCCTGAGACTTAACTGTATCTTCATTAAATTGTAATTAAACAAAAAGACAAAAGCATCCATGCTGTGTTCAATATTACAGGAAAATAAGGGCTTATACCTTTGAGGTTCCCTTGTGATTAGCACCCATGTGTGTTGCCATGATTGTCTAGTTTTGGAACATTCCACTATATGCTTAGTTTGGGACAGAATACACAGTGTTCTGTTCTTTCCTTTTAAAAAGATTTTCTGTAGTGTGGAGGGACCTAGAGATGGATTCACGCCACAGGCAGTATCCGCTGTTTCAGTTAATGAGTGATGGTGTCTTCTTTGGGCATATGCTGAACTTGGATATTTCTTCATTATGTGACAAAGATCTCTTTATTGCTATACAGACATTTCAAAGTGGAGGGTTGCTTGAAGTAATACTGCCTTTCTGGGTGGTTTGTTTCATTGGTTTATGTAGAATTACTGTCTTCTAGTTGCATTAGTAAGAATACTTGAATATTTCTTTTTTTGTACCTTATGTATTCATTTTTTTAAAAAGCCAAGCTTATGATTAAGAGAACAGATATTATTTATTTCTTCTTTCATGTATCCTGCAACTCCTTCATGCTGTTCCCTCCTCCTGCCCCCCCCTTTTTAAATAGTGCTCAACCTCTGGCCTGTAAAATCAACTATTTGTCTCATGCTTCACACTTACAACATGTGGTGGAAGAGCCATGAGTACTAGAACTGCACAACTGGATAAGCAAAATAAGACTTCGTTCTAAGCAATGGAGCTGTGTTCTTGCTTATTTTCTGCTGGAAGATTATAAGCACCTGAGCTGCTTGGTCAGACCAGTGTTGGTAGTGTCTTCTTGTGCTGGGTAGACTCTGAGAACTCAGCTGGTCTGGTCCTTGGGTTTTTGGGAAGCTAAGGCACGTGTGCTTTCACACATGGTTTCATTAAAATAAATATTCCCAATTATTTTATAATTTGTAACTTAGCTGTTAGTCCTGTGGGAAATAGACTTTGCCAGGGTGTCCCTCTTTAGAAAGACAGGGAGAAGTTAAGTGACACAGGTCCCCCAAGGTAACTCTGCTGCAGAACCAGGAACTGGAATCCTGTATTTCAGTCTCATTGGGTGTGATTCAGCACTGCTTAGGATATCTCAGTCACAGAAAAGCCTAAGTTGGAAGGCACCTCTTGATCTCATCTGATTCAACCTTTTGCTGAAAGTAGGGCCTTGGATTAGGTTATTCATTGCCCTGGTAAACTGAGTCTTAACTATTTCCAGCAAAGGGAACTATACTACTACTTTGGGCTTCTCTGTTTAATTCTTTCTATAGTGAGCAACTTCTCCTTGTGTCTGGATGGAGTTTCCTCTGAAGAAGCTCAAAGGGAGCTCTGTTGCCTTTTGTCCTATTCTCTGTGCATCCTTGTGAAGAGACCACCTCCCTCTTTGTATGTGAACTATGAATTGTGTCAGGTTTTGTGCTATGCTAAAATAGTGTGTTGGTGCTGCAGACCTCCCATAATATCATTACAGGAAGTCCATGTCAGGGATTGCCATTTGATTCGTACATGTTCCCTAGTTGCACTTGTCAGGTAACAGATGCAATTTAGAGTCAAGTGTCACTCGGCTTTTTTGACATGTGACTGAGTTGGATGGCACCTGCAGAGAAGATTCCCTTCTTGACGTGTTTTATAACTCTCCTGGAAAACCTCTGAGTGGAAATTAATGGATTTTGTAAAATTATCCGTGAGTCCAACTGATCTCATTCATGTACTGTGTAACTTCTAAAATAAAAGTGTAGTGCAACCAGAGTCTATCACTTTATCTCCAACCCCCCCACCCAAAAAAACTCCAAGGCTGTCTCATTTAACTTGATGATCATTTTATTTAAGAGTTTGATTCATCAGATTTGTCCTGGAATGTAGACTTACTATTGTAAGTCTACTTACTATTGTACATAATTTATTTGGAGTTGTGTTGAAAATTTTCATTGTATTAGAATCAATGATGAGCTCCTGTTGACTTCAGTTTGTCCAAGATTTTGCTGCTGCAGTGTAATAGCAAAAGATCTATCACTATTTATTTCACTTGCCCTGATGCTGATAATTTCCTTTTCTGTGAATGAAAATACAAATCCGTACATAAATGATGCTAAGTAGATAACATTTTTGCTGTAGTGAACAGAAATTTAGCAGCTCACTAGGGATATCTGAATTGCCCATCTCAGTGGTCTTTGTTCAGAGTGCCTTCCTCCTGCTTCTCATGCTTGCTCTATCTTTGATTCATTTTCAGAGCAGCAGAGCCATGTCCCAGATACAAAGAATAAAAATAATTAAAATTTTGATCATAAATGAATTAGCTCTAAAGTGAATATTTGCTTTCCTTCCAGGCCTTTTCAGTTCCCAACACCTATTAGGTGTTTTAAGATTACAGCATTTTCTCTGCTTCTTACATCTATAGCACTCATCACAGAAAAGGAAAATGTTATTTAAGTTTTGCTGCTACTGAAAATAGGTTCTTGTTACTTGTTTAGTGTTGAATAGTGTTTTCAACGTATCCAGGACTATTATTTGTAGTATTGTCTGCTATAGCCCACACAGAGGAAGCTGTTACTCAGCTTGTATGTATTGTAGGATGGTAGGTGGGTTAATTTGTCCTGTTGATTATAAATGCAAATACTGTTTTTAAGACAACGATAACCAAGAGTATTTTTCCTGTTTACAGAGCAAGCTTTACATGGAAGGATTTAGAAGCCTAAAAGAAGGAGAACCAGTGGAATTTACTTTTAAGAAATCTTCCAAAGGCCTTGAATCAATACGGGTAACAGGCCCTGGTGGGAGCCCCTGTTTAGGAAGTGAAAGACGACCCAAAGGGAAGACAGTACAAAAAAGAAAACCAAAGGGAGATAGGTAATTACCTTACTTTGCTATTCCCCCTTTTTTTTCTTTGCAAGTTTTTCTTGAAATTATGTTTTCAGCATTTATTTGTTCATGAAAGGAAACTTTTCTGTGTAAATTTGGCTTTTACATGTAGCTTAGTAATTTGATTAAAGCTATATCGATCTAAAACTACATAAATCACCCACTGATTAGTTTTACTTGAGAAGGTTTTATTAAATTAGAGGGAATGTAATATTGTTTTGAAAATATTGCTATTAGACTGAAAAGAGAGGTCATCCTGAATACAGGTGAAATAATGTCATGTTTAGGTGAGATGTCATGCTAAAGAGGCTATTGTGTGCAGTGGAGTTTTAAACTATGCATCAGTAGTTTTATACAGAAAAAAGTGTAGGTGGTGCAGTAAGGGTTGAGATGTATATAATTTATTATATTTTTACTTAGTTAACAGAGTGTAAGGTGTTTCCAAAGGTTTTAATGCCTGGTGGTCTGAAGAACTGTTGTAAAATTTTACAAATTTCCAGTTAATTTTGATTGTTGCACTTCTTTCTAAATATGTGCAGCAGTCTGACTTGCACTGCATGGTTACACTTTTCTTCCTGCCTCTGATGGCCTGAAGAAGTTCTGCAATCCTCTTCACTACAAAGCCACCTGTACCTAATTCATCAAGGATGGCCTTTGTGCCCAAAAGCTTTTTATTTAGGTGAATTCTCCCTTTTTTCCTCATGCTATTGCCCAGCCCAGTAGCTGTAATGACTGAGACCAAGAGGATATATAGTTTGTGAAGGATCCTAGTAAAAACATCCAAACAGCCGAGTTTTGCCTGCAGTATTTAATGGACAGAATGACTGAGAGGTGATGGCTCTCTTCCATTGCAAATTATGAAGGAAAGAGTAGCTTAGGAAAGATGGGGTCACCTGGAAAGGCAGTGTGGCCCACCTTTGAGAAATTTTAGATCAGGAACCTTTATTAGCTACAGATGAGCTCCACTTGTCCTCACCTCTGTTCAGAAGCACTTTTTTCTTGCTCCTCTTTTTTTTTTTCTTTTTTTTTTTTCCTTTTAGTTAAAGACTGGAGACAACATGAGATTTCGCCCTCTTTCACCCTCTTTGTAAAAGCTAAAGACCATAAAATTTATTGCTGCTGTAACAGATCAGAGTCCATAACCACAACAAGGAGAGACTTTGTAAGCAGGACAAAGCTTTCTTTTTGGTTGCTCCCCATATCTGGTCTTTCAGAGTTGTGTTGCATGCAATGGCTGTGAATTTTTTTTTTTATTTTGAGCTAGGCTTCCAGTATTGTTCTTATTTAAACCATTGGTTTTTCCATGGGCCATAATTATTTATCTGTTTAGGGTATTAGCATTGCCATTATTCTTGATGTTTCATACTTTAGCAGCAAATAAAAGCCACAATCATGCAGTCGTGATACTGTTGACCTGTTTGTTGCACATGTATATGAAGGAAGTCAGTCCTTGTCTCAAAAACTGTGAAATTAAAATGGACAGATTGTATGTAGACATGAAAAACTACATATTGAAAGAGACAGGGATTTGTACAAATGTAGATATTTATACTACGCGGTGTAGTTAATGCAGAGGAATCAGTACTTTCCAAGCGCAATTCATCTCATCCTAAGGAAGCATCTAAAATGTTGGGGTTGAATCTTGCCTTATTGCTGTTCCTCTTCAGGGGCTAAAACGGGACTCTAATTCCAGTGCTGTAGATGCTTCCCTTATAAGTCTCTAAAGTGAAGTGAGATGAATTCCACTTTCAGTCATGCTTTTTCATATCTGAAGCATAGAAAAAATTGAACCTGAAAAACAGTGCGAAGGGGTGATCTATGAGACAGTGTACTCTCTACTGTTCACTTGCCTTTAAAAAAGGAAAAACTCTAATTTGAATTAATTTGAATGTGAAAATGTGAGCAAAAACATCTACCCACTTCTGTCTCAGAATTCTTACAGTTAAGTCATAAGACACCAAAAAAGTCTGAAATTTGAAATATTTGAAGTAGCATTAACATTATTGCTCAGTGAGAAGCAGTCTTTGCTCAAAGGAAAAGTAGTTTTGAATGCCTAGCCAATAAAAAAGTTGCATCTCCAACATGTAGTGAAAAGTTTCTTGATGATGGCTGTTGTACTGTGAGAACAGCTTCCATTTATGAAAGCTAATTCCAACTTCCTGTGTTCATCTCCCTTTACGTTATCAATGTAATAGTGTGAGGGCCCAGGCTCAATGGATCCTATTTTGAATGGATTCTGTTACTCTACTTACTGAGAGGAGTTAGAGATAGAAAATATGGGGGGGGGAAGGGAAAGGCAGCAATATGTGCAGATAGGGAAGAAAAAAGTCATGACACTGAGGCTACCAATGTTGGTAGATTTTGTGGGGCTTCCATGATAGACTCAGGGTCTCTGTAATTTGCAATGTTCTTCCTGTGGGGACCTGTGATAGTATTTCCCCGTCGGCATTACTGTGGGCCACATTAATTGTGTAACATAGATGGGAAGCCTTTCTAGTTGTCACCAGTGGTATCAGCCACTTGGTCATTCTTTCTCAGTACGAGGAAGGGAAAGTTTTTGTGATCCATGTGGAATGAAGCTGTGGCTGTGGGCAGCCTGAGGCTTTAAGTTCCCAGACCTTACTTAAAGCTATTGTAATGCACATGTGTCTTATATATATACTTTTTCATAGTATCTACAGTAATCTGGGCTAGAGGGGAGGTTTCTAAATGAAACTGAGCTGGGATTTGCATCTGACAAGTTCTGGGTTCAGAAGTGGTGTCTTATGGCAGAGGTGCACAGTGGAGAGCCTGGTCTCTTCCTACCCTAGTGATCGAGGGGTTGAATGTGCAACAAGTAACATTGTGACAGGTTGAGGCTTCTTTTTAACAATGCCAAACATAGTGTGTTTTACTTAGTTTTGGCAGTGAGCTGACACAAAAGCATGCTATGGTGCTCTCTAGGAATGACCATCTAATGTCGGAAAGATAAAGTACTCTGAATTCACACTTTAACCTGTGATTTAGAGTAGAATAAATGAAATCAGAACCTAGCCCACCATCTCAGAGTAAAGTTTTGAGGAGGGAAAAGAAAGAAAAAATTACACTTTTTTTTTTCTTTTTCTTTTTTTTTTCCACCAGCATTCCTAGTGTTTCTATGTCAGCTAAAATGAAACTGGGTAAACAACCATTTTATGGGTTGTAATTATTTATTCTTTAGTGCAGTATACATTTAAATAAATTTGACTCACAGACTTTTGGCTCAATATTAACAAAGGTGCAGGATTCTCACAGGACTAGAAGCTACAGTTATCTTTGGGACCTAGAGGTATTATCCAGGATCTGTAAACAGTCCTAGTAGGAGCTTGAAGTTGGATACTTCTTCAGCAGAGTGTCTGTAGTGCTGTATCTGCTTGGGTTGGCCCTTGCTCCATGTGGAATATTTTGGGGGAGACAAGAAGGATGACTTTTTTCTCTTTTTTGATTTTGAAGTCTTTACACCAAAATGGAAGCAATAAAGTAAAACAAGAAGGGAGGGACAAGAAAGAAATAATTAAGGGTATAGCTCCATCTCACAGTTTTAATTTATGACATTTCAGTCCTCTGTTACCCTTTGCTAACATCACACTCATGGCAGGGAAACTTTCTAGCATGAGTGACCTGTATCAAAAGTGGTTTAGATTTGAACATGTAACAAATAAGCAGTACATTGTGAGATTTCGGTTTGATTTCACTGTTTTGGTTTATAGTGCAGCCTTGCAAGTAAACAGTGAGGGACAGATTTGGGAGCTCAGTGAGCCATTGCCACTGGATAAACAATGATGCTGAATTATTTTGTGGGAATATGGCTTGTGAAATAACTGTGTATTTCTAGCTCAGTTGGCTAAACAGTAATGAGCACTGCAGCATCGATGTAACACCTCAAAAGCCTTTTTCCAATGCAGATATCTACGAAGGAGGAACAATAAGAAAATAAGTGATTATTTTGTTTGCCAGTAACTCTTGAGCATGACCAAAAGCATAATTTTCAAATGAAGAAAAACATAGTTCTAAACCAATGACTGGGGGGGAAATACAGCCACTTAGGGAAGGGGGGTGTCTATAATAAAATAGTATATTTCTTCCCTGATGAACTGTCACTTAAAATTTGTTTGTGTCTGAGTTAGAAAATGGTTTTAATATCTGCAGACATTCTGTGGATGGTCTGAAGTCAGACTATAATAAGAAAATCTTAATTCTTAAACAGCTTTTGATCTCCACAAACAGCCACTAAAGTGGTATGATGCAGACAGAGATGATAGCGTGGTCAAGTGCTGTGGGGGACATTTGAATTAAAGTTAGCAGGACTGGGAGAGCTAGTTTAGGACAGCAAAGTTACATGATACTAAGTTACTTTGAACTTGGTATTATATCAATTCCATCTCTACTGACTGAATCACACTCAAGCATATTACCAAATTTTCATAGGAAAGCCTCCTATGCCTTGAACCAAGCAGATTTTTGTGAAGGAGATGTGAAGAATGGCAGTGGTATGGACTGGGAAGGACAGACCTGAACTAGTACCAAAATAGGAGAAGCGCATAAAACCCATGCTTATCAGATGGATGGGGCCAATGTGGATGGGTAAAGGGAAAGCCTGTCAGTCCTTTCTCCTGGGAGCTAGGAAGCAAGGCCAGGCTTGTGGTCACTGCACATTACTATGACAAAGGGAGGCACGTCCACTATTGCCCTTGACCAGCCCCAGGGACCCGCTTTGGGCAGGTCCTGAACAGCACCAGGGTGAAATGGGGAGCAGACAAAACGAGTCAGCCAACCAGAGAAACAGATGAAAACTTCAGGGAGTTGTAGCCTTTGGCACAAAATGGTGTCGGTATGTCACTGTCAAAGGGTGGAATCTTCCTGTTCCTCTTCAAGGTAGATTGCGTTGACAGTTCTGCTGTTTTTCTGAAGAGGAAGCTGACACAGAAGTAATGCAAAAGGTGCATGGCTTTTACACTAGTTTCTTAGAA